GATAGATAGATAGATAGATAGATAGATAGATAGATAGATAGATAGATGATAGATAGATACAGATACAGAATAGATATAGATTAGATAGGTATAGGTATAGAGAGACAGAGATAGAGATAGAGATAGAGGTAGAGATAGAGATAGAGATAGATAGATATGAATACATGCATGCATGTGGTATGCACACATGTGAGTTGGCAAGTGGTAGAGTGCATATGAGTATTTATAGTATATTGTTCATCAATCTACAGAGATCCAATATTGATGTCTTAAATATTAATGTTCTTCCTCAAGTGCTCGCTATATTGTTCTTTGACTCAGGACAAGTCTGTTAAATCCAGAGCTCACCGATAGGCACAGTCCAACTAGTCAGCTTGCTCTAAGGATCTACTGGCTCTGTTTGCTGAGTCTGGAACTACAGGGATTGACCATATCCACTTGACATTGTACGGATTCTGAGAATGCAAGCAGTTTAGAAGCTGGGCCATCTCCCCAGCCCCAATGGTAGCTTCTTACATGTTTCTACTTCTGTATTAGGAAGAAAATATTTTCTAAAAGTCTTTGACAAAGTCCCTCTAAAGTTTTTTTCAGCCCAGATATGGGAAATGTGCTCGATCAGAGTCTAGTCACTGTCATGGAGGTACCCTGGTACAGTCTGAGAATAACACTGAAATTCACTCAGAAACTTGGCAAATTGACTTACTGTACTGAGAACTTTCCAGTTTTGTTAATAATGAAGAGATCGGGTAGGTGTAGCATGGCTGGAGCTACATACCTGCTCTTGACTGACTGCACAGCATGTAGTGTCTACACACATATGTCTCATCAGCCAGGGTTGCAGGAAGTCCTAGGGAAGGAACTCCTCACACACTTGGGTTCCCTGTGCCAACCATGACCTCCTCTTCCCACCCACAGACTGCCTAGGCTCCCACTTCACCTGGCTACAGGCTGTCTTCACCAACTTCCCTCTGCTGCTCCAGTTTGTAAACAGTATGAGGTGTGTGGCTGGCCTCTGCCCCCGAGACTTTGAAGACTACGGTTGTGCTTGCAGGTTTGAGATGGAAGGGTTGCCTGTGGACGAGTCTGACAGGTGAGTATGACCCACAGCTGAGCTCACTGCAGCCTAGTGACACCTTGGATGGAATAAATATAGACAGAGACTCAGAGGAGAGACCCAAGAGAGATCTAATTCTGTTACCTACTGGAGGGTAATTGGCACTCATCTCTTCACAGTGTGGTGGGACTAGTGATGTTGTTGTAGGTAGGTACCAAAAGCCTCTGTCATGGCAACACTATATTACAGGGATGTTCTAAGATTGGGTTCTCTGCATTAATACCATAAGATCCTTGTTAAAACAGACCTACCTATCAACAAAAGAAACATTTAGATGGAGCCTGGAAGCCTTATCCAGCGAATTTATACTGACTAGAGAGAAAGCAGCTATGGAGGTTCCTATTCAGCTTTCAGTAAACATAAACAATAACAACCCATGTATGCTGTGCTTAAGAATCATAACACTACCTTTGCAAGAAAATTTACACGGCTACTAAAGATGTGCTCCTTCCCTACGGACAAGGAAAGAGCATCCTTGACCAAAGTAGCAAGATGGGCAATGACAACTGAAAACTAAATACAGTAAGCAGGCTTTAGCAAGGATGTGATCAACAGGTTTTAGAGTAGGAGAGCCAACTGAGCTATTGACTGACTTGGCAAATCTGTTGCTATGTGTTCAAATTCAAGCACTATTACCCATGACTCAGCAATTCCCATTCTCTGCTCCTTGCTGTTACTTGTTTATATTCTACGTTCTTCATCTTTAAAAATGAAGATGATTGTAATGCCTACTTCAGAGTCACTATTTCTGATTAAATGATTAAATACAAACTGAAGGAGGCATTGTGACTGTGCCTAGTTATAAAGTGCTCAAGAGTATCAGTAACCATGGAAGCAAGACTGGGCTTGTAGAAGCAGTAGCAGTAGGGATGGTAATAGCAATACCTGTAGTGAGGTAGCTATAGTAGTGTCAATACTGACAATAATACTACTGGAGTCATAGTAGCAACAGCAGCAGCCATAGCACAGGGGGAATGAGGCTAGTATAGTAGTAGTAAGAGTGGCTGTAACCATGGCAACAGCATCAGCAACAGAAAGCACCCAGAAACAGAAAACTGAACCTGGATCTGAAGTCTATTCCACTGGCATTATCCTGTGCCCCAAATGAAATGCCATGGGACATGTACTTTTTTTCATCTGTGTGGGCTCAGAGAAGGCAGGACAGAAACTCTATGGAATCCCCATGTTGGACAGCTCATACCTGCCCTGCCATTTCTTGAAAGACATCCTTTTCCAGTTACCTTGGTTCTCCTTTCCCCAAATCTTGGAGCTTCTCTTGCTTGTATCTGCTACATAGGCAAGTGTGAGCATAGGATCTGTCTCTAGACTCTACTCATTCTCTTTTTTTTAATTGGATATTTTATTTATTTACATTTCAAATGTTGTCCCCTTTCTTGGTTTCCTCACACCCCGGAAACCCTCTATTCCATCCTCCCCCTGCTTCTATGAGGTGTTCCCCTATCCACCCAGCCACTCCCCCCTCCCATCCCTGGCATTCTCCTATACTGGGGCATCGAGCCTTCACTAAAGGGTCTCTGCTCCCACTGATTTCCAACAAGGCCATCCTCTGCTGCATATGCAGCTGGAGCCATGGGTCGGTCCACGTGTACTCTTCGGTTGGTGGGTGGTTTAGTCCCTGGGAGGTCTGGGGGAGTCTAGTTGGTTGATATTGTTGTTCTTCCTATGGGGTTGCAAACTCCTTCAGCTCCTTCAGTTCTTCCTCTAACTTCTCCATTGGAGACCCTGTGCTCAGTCCAATGGTTGGCTTCGGGCCTCTGTATTTGTCAGGTTCTGGCAGAGCTTCTCAGTAGACAGCTATATCAGACTCCTGTCAGCAAGGAGTTCTTGGCATCCACAATAGTGTCTGGGTTTGGTGTCTGTATATGGGATTGATCCCCAGATGGAGCAGTCTCTGGATGGCCTTTCCTTCAGTCTCTGCTCCACACTTTGCCTCCATATTTCCTCCTGTAAGTATTTTGTTCCCCCTTCTAAAAAGGACTGAAGCATCCAGACTTTGGTCTTCCTTCTTCTTGAGTTTCATGTGGTCTGTGAATTGTATCTTGGTATTCCGAGCTTTTGCCACCCATTGTCTTCTAAGGAGGGAGTGCACTATGCTCTTTCTTTGTGCTCCCAGTACTAGTGACCACACTGAATGAGGAAGTGACCAACTTTTAACTCCTTTTCATAGCTTAAAAACAGATGAATTCAAAAGGATACATTCTCAGTTGACATCGAATAATAGCTGTGTAGTTAAACAATGAAATATCCCCACCCTCAAACCTACAGGAAAAGATCCGAGTTGCATTTGGAACAAAGAGCTAGTTTTCCATTTTAGGGGCCAGGGTCAGGTAGTTGACACTAGGATTCGAAAGGACTGGTTCTGCAGGGCATGTGAGGCCAGGTCAATCACTGAGAACACAATTTTCTGTTAAGTCCCCCATTTCTGCTTCCTTTAATGCTTTGAACACCTAAGAAATGGAGAAGTCAGATAAATAAAGGAGTCATTCATCACTGTCTCATACCCAGAAAGAATGATCAAAGGACCTGTATCCCCAAGCTGGAATGGTGGGCTGAATCTAATTTCAGTTACTTTGTCCATTTTGGTCAATAGGGTGGGTGTTTCCAAACACCCTGGGAGACAGATTGTTTCCATCTTGAACTTACACACCTTGATTCCCTACTGCCGTTTATTGAAATAGATGACTTCTTGAATCCAAAAAATCCTCCTTAGGCAGGATGAAAAGAATATATCCAAGGTCATCATACTTCCTCGAATTTTCTTTGTTCAATGTTCTCCACTGACTGCTTCCCCAAACCTTGTAGCAGTGTCACCTTGCTGGGTGGCCTTGGCCAGGTTATAGAGTTGTGCTTCTCAGAGTCTGCATATGGAAATATTCACGATAATGGTCACACCTGCTGAGCAGCACTCAGGGGAAGTCGAGAAGTGTTATACTTGTCCAGTGCTCAGAGAAGGAAGAGCATGGCTAGGGCTCTGCAAATGTTAGCCTCTGTAACAAAAGCAACAATAAACATCGTCCTCATTCCCTCTGGGGGAAAAAAATGGCAGTGATAATCAGGAGCTCCTTGGCCAGCCCAATTCCACGTCCTGACCCATCTCGTAGTTCCCATCGTGGCTTCCTAGGCAAAACATCTCTTTCTCCCCAGGCCCAGAACTGGGCTTGTGCCTGGGCCCTGGTCTCCAGACTTGCCATCCACAGCCGGGTCACTAGAGGAACATTACTTGTAAATGCTCGGAACAGTTCCTGGAATACTCAAAGATATCAGCTCTTTCTATGAAGATCTATGTAAGGTTAATTTTTAAAGATAGATAAGTAACTTGCCCAAGGTAAATCCCTGGTGCTTGCTGAAGCTTGTACAGCTGCAGAGCCTCAGTTGTCAGCTCCCTGGACTCCAAACTTGAACATCAAGTTTGCTAGTACAAGTGAGATCTCATTCTTCCTCTTTCTGTGTCCCAGAACATTAGAGAAAGGCAGTGGATAGCAACCCACAACTCTGTCCATAGTTAAGAGAGGCAGAGTTCCTAGCCTGGAGTCTGTAAGCCAGTCACCATTGAAAGGCTGTCTCCCTTCCCTGGTCTTCAGACACTTTTGAGTTCTCAATGAATCAAGCTGGAGCCTTGAAACCTCCCAGGCTCTCTTGGAGTCTGAGGTTTCCCCTATTTGCAACCAAAGACCACAGACTTCATTACACCCTGCTTTTCTCTTGCTCAGATTTTAGTCTGTGTTCAATCCTTGGAACACCCTGAAACCTATGTCAGCATTAACTGTAGCCTGTATTTATACTTTCCTCAGGACTGATGTATACTAGTAACTCTGTCACATCTCACTGTGTAACCTCATAGAAGTCCCTTGAGTCCTTGGGTCCTGAAGGTCCTGTTTGTACACACAGAAAGAAGGTGCATATTTGCATGAAAATGTTACTTTTAATGTTCTTTCTAATATCATCATGTCACATAATCCACACTGCTGTTTACAGACACTACTCTGACTCACTGATAAATTCTTGACTGACCCACAGAGCATGAATTCCTTTCATGTTCTTCACTTGCTTATCATAAGTAGCATCTCATACATCGGATGGATCTCTCATGCATAGATGTGGTAGGAGGGAGACAGTTTTGCCACATGGAAATCACCTGTGCTCCAGGAGGGCTTGTGATTGTCACACAGGAACCTGCATAAAGGAAACTGAAACACTTTCTGGCTCACTGACCAATGTTTGCCACTTTCTGTTTTCTGCAGAGTTGCTGGGGTATCTCTCACCTTGACCCTGATTAAAGGTTAATCCACCTCCTCCTTCTCATCCTCGTGGCCCTCTTTTCTTTTTCCCTGCATTCCATCCCTCTTTTCTTCCCTATCCTTCTCTGCCTTCTTGTGGCAGAGTTTCTTATATAGCCCAGGCTAGTCTTGAATTTATAACCTTTCTGTCTCTCTAGTGCATGGATGATAGATAAATATCATAGCTTTCTTTAGTTTTCAGTGTTTTCTTTATTTAGGTGTATGAAATTATCCTACAAAATGACCTTGGCTTTGTCACCACTGGTTATCTTAAGCAAGTCATTGAGGTACCCCTGAAATCTCTAGCAAAGGTGATTTTTTTTTTTTTTTTTTTTTTTAGAGAAGTCATCTCCTGTGTGAGGCCAAGGAGAGTGACAGGGGCAGATGGAGAGAGGCGACTTCTGCTATTATCACTGACTTGGTAGATGCAGAATGTAGTGACAGTAGCAAAAGCAGCATCCAAAACCAGTGCTCAGACACTGCGTGGTACCAGCCCATCTTTACCTTCCCTGGACTGGTTTTCACACTGTCCTCCAGGACCATGTGGCTCACCACATACAACTGCAGACTGTGCAGGGTGATGCATACGTCCATCTGAAGCATGTAGGATATCAGGTGGCACGTGTGCATTGTGTGTGCATGTGCACACCTGCTGAGTATTGAAACAGATCAGTGCCAGGTACCATCCAGACATCAGGATGATCCAAGCATGCCTGCCTGTCTGGACCCTAACCACCATCTCTCTTGATCCTGCCTGACCTGCCTCAGCTGCTGCTTCCAGCATCGCAGGTGCTATGAGGAGGCTGTTGAGATGGACTGTCTCCAAGACCCGGCCAAGCTCAGTGCAGATGTGGATTGCATCAACAAACAGATCACATGTGGTGAGCATTTTCAGGCCTCCCAGAGCAGGGGCCCAAAATGACCATGTGGTCCATGTGGGATCCATCAGCTGTGTCAGCACCATCATGGGTGCCATTGTTAATACATAATTGATTGATTCATTTGTGGTTCACATGCAGTTAATATGCAATGAATGCTTTTTTTATGATTGAAATCAGTATTTTATTCAAATATCACCTGATCTATAATTGATTTATACTTGTGGTGACTGTAGACGGTTGTAAGTGGCAAATTGTTTGCTATTCATGCACTGTGCAACAGTGGAATAATCCCTTCTTTTAACTACAGAACAGGAAGGACAAAAAACCCTCCTTCAAAGATATGTTATGGAAAGTACGTTAAGCCTGCCTGAGAAATGACTGGTGCAGTGGCTGGTGCACTAGTAAGAACTCAGTGTCGTGTATGGAGGTAGAGATAGAGGCGAAGGGTCAGGCTGGTGGTGGCTGCTGTTTGTAAGAGGCTGGTACAAAGCTTGTGTTCCCATATAAGCACCTTATCTACTGTGTGACTCTAGGAAAATTATTTCCCATGTCTAGGCAGTCCTGGAGGAAGTCATATAGGCAGAGGCATGGAGTGGTGAGAGAGTCTTGCGGGTCAAGTGTTAGATTTAGGCAGTCTCCTATGTGCCTGCTACAGAATGCGGTCTTCAGGCACAGCAACTCTGATCTTCCTTCCCAACAACCTGTTAAATGGAAACCACTGTTAAAACAAAGAAGGGAAGTTCTGAGAGGTTAAACAACCTCGCTAAAGTCACAAAGGTGCTCAGCTGCAGAACCAGACTTTGAACCAAGGTCCCAGTGACTCCTAAGTCCAGGTCCTCAATCTGGTGGAGCCTTGACCACTAACAGTAGATAGAGCGAGGCACTGAGGAAGGAGAGGGTGGAGAAGCTAGTGGAAGTAGCAAAGGACATCAATTCATGCACTCAGCAAACAGATACTGAGACCCCTGCAACCATGGGGGCGGGTCCTGACCTCCTGGACTTCTCTCTGCATGATCAGTGCATTAGTTACCTTTGTCATGCCTTTGAGAGAGTATCTGATAGGAGCAACTTAGAAAGCTCTGAGTTGGCTTCAGTGTCAGAGTACGTAGTCCACAGTAGCGGGAAAAGCACAGTAGTGGTAGTGGATGCTGTGGCATCAGGAGGACAATGCAGTTGGTTGTATGGCATCAGTCTGAAAGCTGATCACTCAGGCTAGATGCAGGGCCACGCTATTACCTTATTTACTGATTTTTTAATGGGAAATAAAGAGACATCTGTATACCCCTCACAGCGTATAACAACAGACCCAGGAATAATTCCACCCAAGTCTAGTTGGTGAGCCAGTGAGTTTAATTCAGATCTACAGGAACATGGGCAAGTTACCAGGCTTCCACTGAAGATCTGTCTTTCACCAAGCAACATTTACCTGGTTCTGTATCACACCAAACAGAGACAGGGTCTCTTGCAACTGCTGGCCTCTTGGAGTATCTCCTGAGTTCTCTCTTGTACCACCTCATAAGTCCCCAGTTCATGAACCCTCCCTCCTCTCTATGGGGGTAAATTGATAGGTCTAATCTTGTGAAGGTCTTGTGTGCATTATCATGGTTGCTCTAACTTCAAGATGGAAACATCTATACCACACCTGAAGGATGGCGGTCCATAAAAGACCTTCAGTGACCTTACAACTAGTGATATACTTCCTCTAGCAAGGCTACATGTTCTAATTGTACCACACTCTCTCAAAACAATGCAACCAGCTGGGGACCAAGTAACAATACACATGAGTTTCTGGGGGGTCATTTCACATTCAAAGCATGGTAGCCAGACACTGCAAATGTGTTAGTGACAGGCGTTATGTAGATCAGGAAGACGGGACAGGGTGGGCTGGGTGGCACTGTGCTTAAACAGGAAGGGCATTAAATACTTCCTAAGCAGTGCAGTGGTGGTGCACGCCTTTAACCCCAGCACTTGGGAGGCAGAGGCAGGTGGATTTCTGAGTTCGAGGCCAGCCTGGTCTACAGTGTGAGTTCCAGGACAGCCAGGGCTACACAGAGAAACCCTGTCTCAAAAAAACCTAAAAAACAAAAACAAAAACAAAAACAAAAAAAAAACTTCCTTGAGAAAAGATTTGATGTAGTAAGTGATTCTTACTCTAAATGGCTGTGTGAGTAAAGTGTGAGCAAGCAGAACATGGACAATACTGAGGTGTCCAGTGTGGAACATAGGAGAGCAGTAATAAGTGTGGGAAAAGATGACATCCAAGGAGAAATGGAGGCTGAGGCCAGGGACAGCCACACAACACTCCCTAGGTGACTCTAGAAAGCCAGAAAGAGGTTCTGAACCAACAGACAGACTTCAATTGAAGTGTTGTATCCCTAAGAATGGAACCCAGGGCTTTTCTGTGCTAGATAAGTGCTTTCTACCACTGAGATACTCCTCTAATCTTGCTCTAGCCCTTGCCGTAGTCTAGATTCTTCATGACAGTGGATGACAGAACTGGGAAGCCTAGTCTTGGGGGCCACTGACATGAGTGGGTGGGAAATGATGGTAGAAAGTTTGTAGGGATGTGGCCAGTCCCCAAAGTGGATACAGGTGGACCCACTACAGGAGACTGGTACGTTGGATGTGTGACATATGCAGTATGTTGGGGACACCCAGGTTGGGTCTACTAAACCAAAGGGGTGACACCATCACTAGGAAGTTGCAGAAAGAGCAAGTTTGGACAGTACAGATCAGGAGTCCTGTGTTGGAACCACCCTTTCCTACTGGGATTCCAAGTTTAATCTTTCTTCCTTGTTCTGCCTGTGCTGTATGCAGAGTCCGAGGATCCCTGTGAGCGCCTACTGTGTATGTGTGACAAGGCTGCTGTGGAGTGCCTGGCTCTGTCTGGCATCAACTCTTCCCTGAATTTCCTGGATGCTTCCTTCTGCCTGGCTCAGACTCCAGGTAGGAGAACTGGGCCTAAACGCTGCAGCAGGGCTGAGTAATGGGCAGGAGCTGCAGTGGGTGTCTTCAGATGCCAAGTATAGCCCTTTCACATCCTAGCCCGCTGCTTTATCCACATCCCCATGTGTTTTTACAGAGACAACTAGTGGGAAGGCTGTGACACTGTTGCCTAGAGGTAAAGTTCTCAACATAGCTGGTTCTTTCTGGACTGTAGAGGACTTGTATTGGTAGCAGCTGATACAGGCATCTCGTCTGGAGACCTGGCTCACAGAGGCTGTAGCCAACAATGACATTGACTCTGCCTCCCTTTGTAAAGAGACTAATACGAGAATATCCAGTATCAAAGGATGCTAGTACCAACTCTACCCTTGCTAGAGGGTGGATGTGAATTTAATCCAGCGAGGGTACAGAGCCTACGTTCTCTCTGTGTGGTCAGGGGACTGGTACGTAACAGGACAGGAGCAGCACCTAAGGTTCAGATGAAGACAGTTCCCACTCCCTGACTTCCTGGCTACTAGGCCTCCCTGGAGTGGGTCCTGTTTCTTTGTCTCTCCCATTTCCTCCTGACCTCCCTAAAGCCTGAGCCGAAAGCACAGCCTGACCCAGGTGCCTCTTTTAGGAGAGGTTGTTTATCTTGTGAGTCTTTGTGAGACTCATATAATTCATATTTCTTACTCTAAAATATGGGTCTTACGGAAAAAAAATAAGAACAAGTTGACTTGTCCGTCAGAGTTCTTTTCCCTCTCATTCCCAATACCTTTAGGCATCTGGGGATGGGTCCACTGTCACTTTGATATCTCATGTATCCTTTCCTTGGGCTCTGGTCTCCTTTCTCGAATTGTGTAATTTTGTTAAGGAGCAATTCAGTGGGTGGGTTGGTGTGTAGCTGGGTGGGTACCTGTGGAGATGTGCATATCTTTGTGACACCGCAATACACTGTAAAAATAAAACCTCAAGGGTTCTAATCTGAGCAGGCTGGGCACTAAGGATCCAAGAGAGAAAGGGTCTAAGAAGGGTGTCATTATGGAAGAGTTATCCATTCTAGCCGAGGGTTCTCTGGCTCTCTTTCTCCCCCAGGAGCATGGGCTGCCCAGCATAAAGATAGTACATGCATGTGTGCATGGCCATCAGTGGTGCATGCATAGGTGTGAGTATGTATATATTCATGAATATGGGGATGTACTTGTATGAAGGTAGAATATCTATGAGGATGTGTGTACGTACATGTATCTCTGTGTACCTTCCACATTCAGTACTCTTAGTATTTCTATTATTTCTGCTCTGCTTTCTTAGCAAGAGTCTTTTCATTTGGGGACATCTTCAGGATCCTCACTGCTTCACCTCCTGTCTCAGATAGCACTCTTTCTCCTCCAGAATCCAGCAGTGGCTGTGATTCTTCATGAGTGCAGCAGTACTGGACAGAATGGATAGCTAGAATGGATAACTCTTCCAAGGAGACACGCTTCGTAGACCCTTCCTCTCTTGGCCCCTTAGGACCCAGACTGCTCAGGTTAGAACCCTTGAGGTTTTGTTTTTATAATATATTGTGGTATCATTGCTGTTGGAGATTCTCTTTCCCCAGGGATTCCTGAAAAGCCCACAGACACCAGTCAGATAGCCCTGTCAGGAGAAGGTAAGCATGAAGGAACATATAACCCAACCACTCTTGTCCCATTTGTGCCACTCCATACTGGCTTGATGACATCAGCTCCCCCAGATGTTCCCTGCCTGCTTTGTTATGGAGCTGAGTAATTTTAAGAGGTCCTGGTTCTTTCTGAGCAAGGACCCCTTTTCTACCCTCTTAGCCCCTCTGTCTTCAACTCAGGAGGACCAGAGGTACAATGCTGCAGGTTGGCCCTGATGCACAGGGGCAGGTTTGTATGGATGGACAACACATATGTTTTAATGTGCCCTCCAAGTCTTGCTTGGGATACACTTTTGCCAGAAAGTTATGTGTTGCTCATCTGCAATCCAAATTTAGTGGATACACTAAATATTTGAGTAGCTCTCAGTACAGTGCTCTTGGTACAGTCACTCTACAGAGCCCTCCCTCAGAGAAGCTGATTTTTCCCCGTTTCTTACTCACAATCCATTTCACTGATACATAATAAAATGGTGTTTCCTTTCCACAGTGGCTGGTGAGATGAGAGCAGACACACTAACAACACTCTCCAGGACAAGTAAGCTGAAGGAGCATCCAAGAGGGATGCACAGTGGAGATGCTACCCAAATCCGTGTGCTTTTTTTTCAGTGCTTACTATTGGACAGGGCCGCAGGGGAAATGCAGTGCCCATTTTCAGACTATGTAGGACACTAAGGATCAAGAATCTTAAATTGTCTGTCACTCAGCCAGAAATACATGGTGAGCTGGCACCATGCAATTCAATGCAAGCACGACCATGAATGCTAAAAATATTTAGGCCAAACTTTAGTTGGTGAACTTGACTTTCCCATAACATGATCATGGTAATTAGCAAACATTAATTTACTAATGAGTGTCTTAGTTAGGGTTTCACTGCTGTGAACAGACACCATGACCAAGGCAACTAACTGGGACTGGCTTACAGGTTCAGAGGTTCAGTCCATTATCATCAAGACAGGAGCATGGAAGCTTCCAGGCAGGCATGGTACAGGAGGAGCTGAGTGTTCAACATGTTGTTCCAACGGCAAACAGGAGACAACTGGCTTCCTGGCAGCTAGGATGAGGATCTTAAAGCCCATACCCACAGTGACAGACCTATTCCAACACGGTCACACCTACTCCAACAGGGCCACACCTTCACTCCCTGGGCCAAGCATATTCAAATTATCACAATGAGTGTAAGTCAATGACAATAATTATTCGCTAGTTACTCAGAATGAATAAGTAAGTAGATACTTGCTGATGGGCAGTACCATCATTGAAGGTCTTCAATGTGTAGGCATTAGTTACCGGACATGCACTCTGGATTCTTCCTTGTCCCAGGAATCCTGTTATTATCCCATGAAAGAGAAACTCTGAGGGTGGTGTCACTCACCCAGGATGTGTCAGTTCAGAACTCCTTGGGTCTGAGCTGGTAGGTTTTGCTTTGAAAAGACCACTCTGCCTCAACAGAGGATGGTCCAGATGTCCCTTTGATGTGGCAGCTATGTTCACACGAGTCAGCTTCAAAGACTGAGTTTTATATAACACTTTGTCTTCATCCACAAGTATGTTAAGTTGAAGTCAGTGCTTCCCTTCCCTTATACTGGTTTATCTGCTCTCTCTCTCTCTCTCTTCTGTATGGTACAGTGGAAAGTGAAATCAGAACTTAGCATAGTGCCTGAGGCTCGACCTCAGCTCACACAGCTTTTCATCACACCACTACCTAACTTCATAATTCTTGAGGAGTGTCTTAACTCTTCTGTATGTCTGTCTTCTCATCTCTCAAAGAGGGGTGAGTGGGGTGAGCAGAAGACCCCTACTTGTGAGCTGCCATTAAGTGAGGCAGAAGAACAAAGTCTGTATTGGTATATGATTTGGAACACAATAGGACCTTTTTAAGATTTAAGAAGGACTCACCTTACAAAAACTCATGGCTCAACTGCTCTCCTAGAGCCAACAGCAGCATACAATTCCTGTGTCCCGGACTGCTGCTGCTTTTTTAAACACACTATTTTCTTTTATTTCAGTATTTCCCCCTCCAATTTCTGCATAATAAACAGTCGTAAAGCCTTTCTGCAATTTCCCCATCTTACAAACTGCTGGGACATTTGCCAATGAGCATGTCTGGGGGTTCCTTCTGGTCCCTTAGTGACCCTGATAGCATCACCTGTCCGAGGAAATCTCAGAATGGGGGCAGGTCAGGTCAGTCTGGGCCCAGAGGTATGCCTCCTGGGACCAAGGCACATGTGTAACGTTGACACTCATTCTGTCTGTCTTCTCTTATGAGCAGAATCTGTTCAAGATCGTCAAGATATACCAGCTTCTAGGACCACAACAAGTCCAGGTAAGCACATCTATCTCCCTCTGCCTTTGCATATATAAGCTTCAGAAATAAATGAGTTCTAAATGAGCATTGGACCAAGTCATAAATGGAAGAAAGAATTGAAAAAATATGTCTCTGTATTCCTCTGTAAAGTACAAATGTAGAATTAAAAGACACATTAACAGGAAGCAATGAAAAGGTCTCAGGTAAAGACGTGTTTGTGAAATTACATTTAGTTTTCTATTTAAAATCAATTGTCATTCCATTATGTAAAATCAGATACGTTTAATATCCAATGTATTTTCTAGTAGCCTCTTGCATTAGTAACTTTCCTATTGCTGAGATAAAACACCACATCGAAGAAAACTTAGAGAGAGTTGATTGGGGGCTTACAATTTCAGAGGGCTAGAGCCCATGATGACAGTGAGAGGTAGCAGGTAGTAGGTGACAAAGCAGCAGCCAAGAGCTCACATTTCAAACAGCAAGCAGGAAACAGAGCTAATTCAAAATGGTGTCAATCTTTTGATACCACAAAGCCTGCCTCCAGTGACATACCTCTTCTTTCAGGCTTCTAGTCTTCAACAAACAATTCAAAGTATTTTAACATAAGAGCCATTCTCATTTAAACGACAACACCTTGCCCCAAGCAGCTTTACTGGGCAAAAGATGCAATCAGGTAGCCTGCAAGTAGCACGAAGAACCTTGACATAATCTTGAATATGATGAGAAGCAGCTGCAGTATTTGAACAAGAAAGTCAAGTGTTTAAGGGTGGAGTGGGGGCTCTGCTTGCCATCTCTCATCCTACGTTTTCTATCCTTCACTTTGCCTCTTTACTTGCTTTGAGCATCTAGATGTGTCTTGTGGCAGGTGTACATTTGTAAACGTAATACAATCTCAGGCCTGAAAGATCATCAAAGTTCTCAGCCATGAGCGGACGTGCAGATGGTCTATCATAGCATCCTGGCAATGTTAAGTCTAGAAACTCAGAAATACTCATGTAGAATTTGTGTCTAAGAATCTTCCTCTATGTCCGCAAACACAATGTGAGGCGTACTCTCTTTCTACATCTATGTTCTGAGAGTCTCTGTCTGCATTTGGCTTTGACCATGTATGTGTTCATCTGCAAATGTCTCTGAGTGACTCTTTTCACTCTGAATGATTAAACTCTATATTTTCAGGATCTGCAGAGATTATTGCCATAGCTAAAGGTACAACCCATGATTCTGCTAGCATTAAACCACTGAGGTTGGAAATATCTGTTGACAATGGTTCTCAGGAAACAACTGGAAAAGGTAGGTGAGAGTCAGTATTGAGTATTTGTCCTACCCCTGGAATCTAAAACTATCTGTTAACATAGTCTTTTTTTTCCCTTCATTAGTTCTTTATTAAGTATTTAGTTGTTACAATTCTTTTCCACTCCGCTGTCACTTTGTCCAAAGGATAAATTTTCAGGAGCTTCAGTTGCAGCTTCAGCTTCAGGAGGTTCCATTTCTTTTCTTTTTCTTTTTGTATTGTTTTAATAATTTATATTCCAAATGTAGCCCCCTTTCCTAGTCCCTTCTCCAAGAGTTCTTCACCCCATTTCCACTCCACTTGCCTCTGTGAGGATGCTTCCCATCCCACCACCCATCTTCCCATTCATCTTTTATTTTTTTTCTAAAATCAAATTGTAATTTTTACTTATTCACACAGGGGTTATAAACATAAAAAATAGGATGTGGGGAAAGGGATGACACGGGAGCATGGGTATTCAGGGGGAGTACAGATATCAGCCATAGGCCTAAAATCAGTAATAGGCCTGTCATACATGTATACTAACAGCAAGTCTTGGGTCTCTGTGGAAAAACATTGAAACAGATGGCTATAAGCTATTGTAAACAGGCAGCTTTTGTGGAAATTTACCAGCCTGAGTAGTCATAGACCTTGTAAATAGGTAGCCTTGGCAGATAATACCAACTTAGATAAGGACAAGTGAGTCATAGGCAGAGTCATAGTGACCTATCCCCTGAACCTTCACCCAGCCGATACCCTGTTCTAACATAGTCTTTTAAGTCACTTTATAGATTAGGACAATGTCCTGTTGGCACAAGTAGAAGGTATCACCCTCCACCCACCCCCTTACTAATAAGCTCTTTCAGGCTCAAGGATACAAAATTTACCTTTGCCCCTCAGCTGCTGTGAGGCTGAGACTAGGCAAGAACCAGGGTTTTCTGTTCCCTGGCTCTGTCCTCTCATCATTATTCTTCTACTGGCCTAGAATCCAGGATCTTGGCCAAAACCACATTGTGTGTGTGTGTGTGTGTGTGTGTGTGTGTGTGTGTGTGTCTAACATTATGTGTGGGTATTAATGATCATCCTGCCTCACTTCCCTTGCATGCCTTCCCAAAGGACCTAGAAAGTGCCCCAGCCCCATCTGAGCAAGCTCCCAATGGCTTCCAGTGTAGAGCTGTGGAGCATCCATATGAAAGTTGCAAGAAGATGAGAAATGATACAAGGAGAGACGTGAGAGACAGAAGTAGAGTGAGAAAAGCCAGGGCTTTGAAATGTAAAGTCACCCAGTTTGCTAACATGATGTGCCTGCAAAGCCTAAGAGGATAGCTAAGGCCTTACAGGCTGCTAGGCTCATCTTAACAATAAGATGTCGTCCACAAAGCATCTTTAGTCCTGACAATGTCCCATTCCTTATGGACATTTAATAAGAAATTCAATAGAGAATCAGAAGTTGAAGAAGAGTTCTTCTCTGAAACAAAGAGAACAAGACACACAAGAGTGATGATACAGGGTCCTCCCAAAGTAGTTTTCATACAATGTGGAAAAACCATTCCTCTCTGGAACTCGGCCCTAACTCTCCTGAGAATCTGTTCTTAACCAGCCTGTGACAGATTGGCCTTTCTGCATGTGGGTGACGGAGACAACATGAAGGCCATGCTGCAGCTTGGAGAGATGCTCTTCTGTCTAACAACCCACTGCCCAGAGGAATTTGAATCTTATGGCTGCTACTGTGGAAGAGAAGGAAGAGGCGAGCCAAGAGACACTCTGGATAGGTATGGATGGGGACCAGTGGGGCACAGATGGAAAATGAGGTTGCTAACATCTGTAAGGACTCTCATCTGCACTGGGCTTTATATCAAGTCTCTCAAGGAACGGGCTCTAGACATCTGTTCTCACTTAGGAAGGCATGATAACATAACAGAACATTTTCCTAGTGAGCAGCTGAAAGGGACAAGTCAGGCCAGGCCAGATCTCTTGATGTTTCATTACAACAATAGACTACCCTGCAGATTAGAAGGGCTGGCTTGTTAACACATTTTGAGTGACTCTAGACTGACTCCTTGTACAATGGCATGCATAGAGAATAGGGGTATGCATGTGGTTAACTCAGAAGAAGGCAAAGTTTATCTTTCTAACAGCTTTAAAGTGTATTTGCTAAATTTTATAACCACCACTTTTCAGGGAATTTCCTTGACTTCATACGTATACACATCCATTCATATACATACACATTCTGCCTATATCTCTGGGGGCATTTTTGTGTGTCAGGCATCAAGCCAGGTAGTAGAGATACAAACCTGATTATTGCTAAACAAAACAGAAATAAAAACACAAACAAAACAAATCCAAACCTCTTATGCACATAAGATTTCACAGAGAAAGAGGCAGGAAATTAACAAAAGTGCAGTGATGAAATAAGTAATTACATGGGATTCACCCCGAGTATAAAGGATATTCCAAGAGCATAAGTGATATGATCTGAAAGATTGATTACTAGTTTGCCCACCCATCCACCTGTCCACCCATCATCTACCCTTCATCTACCTAACCACCCATCATCCACCCATCCACCCATCATCCACCCATCTATCCATCTACCCACCACCCCATTCAGTGTTTACCACTAAGACTGCTTCCTCTTCTCTTCTGCACGGTCACTTTGGCTTTCAGTGAAGGAAATTAAGGGCCACCCCCCCCCAAAGAACTCTCACAAGACAATCCTACTGAAATTTTAATTGTAGCAGTTAAAGCTGCAGCAGCATCAATTATTCTATATAATAATTGAGGTTATATAATGAGGTTTCACAGCATGCCCTCTGACCTCCATGACAAGACGGAACTTCAGTAGTCGAGATCCAGAGTGCACAGAACTCTTCTGTGACATAATGAAGACAGGGACATAGCCAGCAGCAGCCTCTACAGCCATTAAAATTGGGGCAATTTTGGGGCTGCCTTCTAATCCGTGACTATATTTCATCAAAATATGAAATTTGAGTGGTTGGGGAAATAAGTTGCTATGGCTTTCTGATCTCTACAGGAAGAAATTAAAACCCAAAAGTTCTAGGTAGAAACTCTGAATGGCAGTTTGTCACACTGATGTCATGTTCTACAAGAACATAATCTTGATACCATGTATTATATACGTCACAAACAGATGCTTTGTATGAAGAGGTTGATCACTTATGATTCCTAATGACACTGACTTTAGATTGCAACCACTGTGTTTGTTTTCCACCCATCCCTATTACCCCGGGAAATACACATTTAAGACAACATGGCTTCTCTGTAGTGGCAGCAGAAAATGGGTCAGACATTGACCTCAACTACTGGGTACTGTGAGTGTGTGAGGTAAGGTTCTTCTTCCTGGCAACAACATTGGTAAAGCTGCTATGTGGCTCGGAACGAGTTAGAAGTCTGGTCACTCTTGGTTGGGCCATGGTCTCCAAGAGGAAGTACTTTAAAGGCATAGTTAATTAATCCTCACACCAATCTAAGGAGGCAGCTCTATCACTCTTATGTCACAGAGGAAACAACCTATGAAAAAGTCAGAAGGAAGTGGGAAAGTTGGGGATATGGGCTTGAAAACGGCTTTGCCTTAGAGCTAAAACCACATCTTAGTGACCCAATGGATTTTAAAGATCTATGGATAGCTAAAAATGGAGCACTAGGGAATAATCATAGGTCTCTATTGACTGGCATCTTTACATATAGTAACAGACATCATCTGGCCAAGGAGGGCACTAGGGATCCTGATACATCAAGTCAGATAGGTGGATCTGAATACAAGGCAGTGACTCATTCACTTCTGTTTACTGGGGCCATGCTTTATTCTGGGACCTGTGTTGGATGCAGATCTTCACGGCTACCATGTCCTTTTAGGTAGAAAGTTAAAAAGGTGATCTATATATGTGAAGTTAAGTGTTTTATTATATAGAAAGTTGGATGTAGTTGGGTCTTTGTATTGTTGTGGACATTTGTACAAACTAAAGAAAGTACCCTTCGAAACCCTGTCTCGAAAAACCAAAAAAAAAAAAAAAAAAAAAAGAGGAATCCTTCTTGAAAAACCCTTCATTTTCAACTGCTGGAAAGGTATGGTGACAAGTGAATTTGCCATCAAGAGTCATAGTAAAAGAAAAATGTAGAAATTTGGGTATACACAATGGGGTTGATGCTGTTAGAGGCAGCCTCCTGGTGCTGCGGTATGACCTCAACAGCCTTTGAGGCATGTACTAGCCAGCCTCACATACTCTGACAGGAGACCCTTGGCAAATTTCAGTACCCCATGCAGTGTTGAGAAACAAAGACCTGGATCAGTGGGGACCTCTAGTAAATAAAAGGTTCCCTTGCTCTTAGGTGCTGTTTTTCCCATCACTGCTGTTTGGAGCAGATGAGACAGCTGGGCTGCCTCCATGGAAGGCGTTCTCGGTCATCTGTGGTATGTGAAGACCACACACCCAAATGTAAGTGGCTGCCTAGAGTTTTATGGGTTTTTTTTGTCTGTATTCTGGCTGGAGCTGGGTTACAGATACTTCCCCTGGCACACCTTGATCTGTACCACAGTCTTGTTTTTTTTATTTTAAGACATGTGCTTACATCCCTTTCCATAGATGAGGACTCATGTTCAAGAGCCAGAGTCAGCTATCTTAAGCATCAAAACTAATTGATGGTCTCAGTAACCTCTACCTACTGAGGCTGTGCTGTGAGTGGTTCTAAGCATTTGAAAGGCACAGTTAATCCTCAAACTAATCCTAGGCAGCAACTCCATTGCTTTTTCTACTTTACAGAGGAAGCAAATGATGCTCACCATCAGACAGGCAGAAGGAAATGGGAGAGTTGAGATCTGGATGGGAAAATAGCAGTGCCTCAGACCTAGAACCTCCTCCTAGGCTATCCAGTAGATTTTAAAGAATTCTGCCTTCTCCTAATAAATAGACCCTGTTTCCAGATTTGATCATCTAAAGAATGCCATGAAGGAGAGGGATGGAAGGCTCTGGCTGAAGGTGGGCCTAGTACACAACTCCACTCACTACCATGTATCCCACAGAGACAATGTGTTCTACCTCTGTAAGCATCAGCCCTGAGCACATGACAAAGTATGCTTATAACTGGCTCCCATGGACACTTAGCTCAGCAGTGAATGTGCTTCTCCTAGGTTGCTCTTGTAGCTCAGAAGGAAAGGATTCTTGTGGAGCTTCACAAATACTCTGCAAGGTTTTCTTATTTTTAACTGGGGAAGCAACTGGATGGGCCTATTGTCGTCTTTGCTGACTGTACATGCCATCCGCAGCACATAGGTCTCCATGACACTGTTGGTGCCATAATTAATGGCGTATCTGTCATTCACTCATCCACTGATTCAGCTTTCTACTAAGCCAATAAACCTTCATTTGGAACTATGGAAATAACTGTGACAAATCATCTGAGAATAATCAACTTTTAACAAAAGAAAATATAGTTTGGCTTATGGGTTCAGTCCATGGTCATAATGGCCCTATTGTTGAGAGCTTATGTGGAGGCAGAACATCATGGCAAAGTTGCTTTTCTCATGGAGGTTGAACAATGGTAGGAAGATGAATGGATGGCAGTCAGGTAGGTCAGGGATGAAATATGCCCTTATGGTGTGTATATACACACACTGAGACACACACGAACTCTCTCTTCCTCTGTCTTCCCCCTCCCTCTCCCTCTCCCTCTCCCTCTCTCTCTCTCTCTTCCTCCCCCCCCTCTCTCTCTCTCTCACACACACACACACACACACACATATACACGGAGAGAGAGAGACAGAGACAGAGACACAGAGAGACAGAGACACAGAGAGACAGAGAGAGGAGAGAGACAAAGACAGAGAGACAGAGAGACTTAGTTTTATTCCTACGAAGAAACACTATGACCAAGACAACTCTTATAAAGGAAAACATTTAATTGAGGCTAGCTTATAGTTTTGGAGGGTCAATCCACTATCATCATGGTGGGAAGCATGGCAACCTGCAGGCAGATATGGTACTGGCAGAGCCATGAGTTCTCTATCTTGATCCACAGGCAGCAGAAAAAAACTATCTCTCACACTGGGCAGAGCTTGAGCTTAGGAGATCTCCAAGCCTGCTGCCACAGTGACACCCTTCCTCCAACAAGGCCACACCTCCTAATAGTGCCACTCCCCATGAGCCAAGCATTCATACACATGAGTCTATGGGGCCATACCTATTCAAACTCATATCATGACCTATTTTCTCCACTTAGCCCCATGGCTTGTTTTTATCACCTAAATGCCATTCAATTACAAACCCATCAATGTGATAATTCACTTATGAGCTCAGAGCCTTCAGGATCTAATCATCATAATTCCCATAACTAGGGCTTTAGCATAGCCTTTGGAGGTGATTTAAGATTCAAACTGTTACAATAATAAATGTGTGTGACCCTTGCCTCAAATTGCTCACACCAGAGACCTGGGAGAGGTCAGGAGATGAGACCAGAGGCTAACGGGTTCTGAGATGGCACGGGCATTTTCCACAGTATTCTGGAGTACTCAGGAGCTTATAAACATGCAGTGAGGCAGAAAGTGTGATGAGGTGTAAGGTGAAGCTGGAGACTGGACCTAGAGGAGAAACACAAAGGGCTACTTTCTAGCAGGAAGAACAGGCTAGACCATTAGAAACACTACATGCTACCAGAGGAACTGTGTGAGATGAAGTCAGGAGTGGCAAATGAACAGAGTTTGGACAAGTGGGTTTATGTGCCCTACCTGGTGTCTCACATTTGTTCCTCTGCTCTTGCTAAGGTGTGGGGCAGAGCCTGTGTGAGAAGCTACTATGTGCCTGTGACCAGATGGCAGCTGAGTGCATGGCCTCTGCCTTTTTTAATCAAAGCCTCAAGTCACCAGACCCACCTGAGTGCCAAGGCGAGCCTGTGTCCTGTGAGGATGGCATGCTCAGGGGAACCTTGGCCTCTCCAGAGGACTCCAGTTCTGAGGAAAATAGCGAGGAAGCTGCACCTCAGATGGAACGCCTAAGAAGCAGATTTCTGGAAAAGTCCCCTGGTCCCTTGAGGGCCAGGTCCCTTGATGGAAGATAAGGTGCTACATGCCAGTAGTTCTGAGCTGCCTGAGCTCTTTGGCCCTCAGTCCTCTGTCCATAGGAGCCATAGCAGGATCTCCAAAGGAGCAGGGACAGTCACCTTGTTACCCATGAGCCTCCTGAAACTTGTCAGCACACAGATGTGTGTCTGGAGAATGAATGCAGATGACAGCACTTCTCTTCTTCCTGTAGTTCATTATGGAGGCTCAATAAATTCTCCATGCCACATGGCTTGTGTCGTGTCTAAGAGCTGCCTCTGCAGATGGATGGGTGCTTGAGTGGCTTGCCAAGGTGCAATGACAGGAACAACTGCCAAGAGTGCTTGATTTCCTAGCCTCTAAAAGCTACTTTCTTCTTTTGTTAGAAAGTAAGGGAATGTGGCTACCCATGGTTGTCAATGACCCACTAATGAAGATGGCAATGCTTCTGTATGATCAGATACACTTGCTACCTTTGTTATCGAAGCCATGAGGCACAGCCATCACTATGAGAACACCTATCACTACCCTTAGCTCTAGGTCTTTTCTTACAAATGAAGATAAGTAAAACTCTTGCCTGTCTTCCCATCCTTCCTTATATCTACGAGGATCACTTCTGCAGGGAAAACTTACCTCATGGAAGTTGACCCTGCAGGCCTGCTTCCTGCAGTTTCTGAGTTCTGAGGTGACTTCTGGCACTTAGGTTTTGGGCAATACATCAGCACTCACAAGCATGGTATCCAGGTGTAAGAAAATGCTAGATGGCCACTCTTGTTCATGAGCAAACATCAGAAGGGCAATGCTTTTCTGACTTTCATTTTAAAAAAGGAGCTATGAGACTCTCTAGAATGTCCAGGATGGAACTCTCCAGGCACCAGCGATGGCTAAAAAAAGTGATCGGGCACTTAGCTTTGCCTTCCATTTCCCAGTACATCCCCTTGCTAATTTTCTCTGCGATCACTTCTTAATGTAAAACCTGTACATAAGCCTTGCCACAGGGTGTCAAAAGAAAGCCTAGATGCAATACTGCCTCTAACTCAAGTGTAAGCTAATGGTTGCACACAGACCAACCGAGATGCAGTTTATCTTCACACCCTGGCTTTGCTTTTCACTAATTCATACTAGATGACAAGAGATAGGATCAGAGTCACAGTGGAAAGCCCGAGGCAGCATTTGTACAGTGCTCTCAGTATATCAGTGGGAACAGGGTCAGAGATGTGGAATGACTGTCCTAAAACTGCAGAGCTACGACAGTGACAGTCTAGTGGCAGTGCCTAGGTTTCCCCAAGGCAGAGCCTGTGACAAGGTTTATATGCAGGTGTTACTTTTGGAAGTGGTTTCAGAGAACACTAGACCCCAAGGAAGATTGTCATTAATATTTACCAGAGGCTTACCCTATAATGCAGGCATGCCACGGCAGTTCACTTACCTCTCAGCTAGCCTCTGAGGGCAGATCATACTGTTTTAATTTCACGGACGAGTGATCAATCACTTAACTATGACTGCTTAGCCAGGAGCTTGGATGGGATTTGAACCAGAAGGCAAGCTCCTGTCACTGTGTCATAGTGGCTCATCCAAGACGCCAATGATCAACCGCTGGCAGGGTAGTTCTGCAGGGCCTGGGGTGGCATGAGGTACTAGACAAACAGCTGCTTTTGTTGAGAAGATTTCTGTAATTTATGGAGCAAGGCAGTATAGTGAGAAAAAGTCACCAGAGTTAACAAGAAGAGGCAACTATGAGGTATCAGGGACCTTCCCAAACTTACAAGGCATCACCAGCACTGAGGTGGGACATAATGTTGGACGAAGGCAAAGACTGACAATCTATGCCCTTACAACTGTCTCTTACTGTTCCGGGAACCAGAAACTGATAGCCTCTGGAAACTTAACTCTTTCTTACTATTCTGTGTGAATAAGTGCTGGTTTCTTTTCTCTGTAACTCTTTACTATTTTGTGCTAATATACATTAGTTTCTTTTTTTCTGTTGCTTAAGAACTTCTCAATGGCCAAGTGAGAGGCTTGGACTTACTAATTTTTTGTGAACCAGGAAGGGGGGATTTACAGAAGAATGGTGATGTTAAGTTCAAAGTAGTGTTTCATTCCACTAGTTCATACTAAATTCAAAGTAACCACTTCACATGGCCTTGCTTTATCATAGTGTATACATGTGAAAGTGACCTAGAATGTTTTCCCTTGATCACAAATTTGTCCCAAGCCTATTTCTCCTTTCAGTGTAATTGTAAAAGCTCACTGGATTCCTTACTATGTAGTCTTTACTTACTAATCTACGAAGAATGGGCATATTCTATGTTTGGTTCTAACCTTATTATATATTTTCTAGCAAACCAACTAAAACCACCTCTTAAAACTTTCTTCCTAAAATTATATGAATCAAATCAGGAATTCTATAAAATCATTAATTCATATAAACAGCATTAATTCATGAAAGTTCATCTTTATTTTGACCTTCAGGAAATCTCTCCAATAGACTGGGTTAATGCCTAGGAATCATTTGACTATGTAATAGTGATAGAAAAGGCATATCAGTAGTAAGAAGCAATCCTGGGATGAAATCTTTGAAGGATCTGGAATCCAGAGCTTACCCATTACAGCCATGCAAAAGCAGTGGGCCATCTCAAGAAAACTTACTTGCACGCCTTTACCCTTTCCTAGATGAGGCACCCAGTAGGCTTAATCTAGGCTGTCTTCGTGCTTATGGTTCTGATGATTCTCATATATATGGAAAAGAATCCACCTGAGTCATCTGATTGTTGAAGGAGCTTAATTCTACATACTTAATGCTATAATAAAGATGCACTTATACATAAGTGATGCTATTTTTGTTTTATTGCTTACATATGATTCACAATGAAAATTTACATTTAAAAAACTTACTTTATTACAGTAATACACGAATAAGCATTAGTGAGACAAATGAGTCCCCTTTGAGGGAGTGGGGAGTTAAACTGCTGGTCAAGGGTGGTATCACTCTAAAGGGTGAGTCTAAAGGAGGCTGGAGGGAAGCAAGAGGACTAGAAGGAGGAAAGAGGAAGTGAGAGAGGATGAGTACGAGAGCTCAGGTAAAAGTCAACGACACTATGTAAGCAGCTAGACGCACAAGGATCACAAGCACAGGAGGAACATGTAAATTAACTTCTTGGTGTCACACAAAAGAATATAACCAACTGTATACAGCAAGGAGAACAATAAATGCTTTGAGTATCATGTACCTGCCAAAATAGACCAATGAACTCCAGCCAGTCCTAAAGATTCAGTACCTGAAAAGTTATACAGCACAGGCATTCAAATGTGATCCCTGCAAATGTGGAAGAATCAGACGGACAGACATCCATTGCTTGGGAACTCTTGTCAACAAAACCAGTTCAGTCTATTGGACCTAAGATATCCAGACATGTACTTTAGTTTAAGAAACCACAGAAACAAAACTCAAACCAGCAGTTTATAAAACCCAAGCTACACGTATGATAGAAGACTAATTGCAATGGCTTTCTTTTGCATGCAAAGCATGCCTTTTTAAATCACCAAGAAACACAAAATCTTGTACAGCAAAGCTCATGTTCTGCATGAATGCAAGTGAATATATCTCTTTTCTTATACTATTAAATTATATATTTTTCCATACAAAAGCACACAGTGTTAATTTATAAAATGACATCCAAGTGGATGATGATTGTTTTTGCATGTCCCCCTGTTTAGATTTTAAATGCAGTCAAAAAATAATATCCTTCTTTTAAAATGAAGAAGAAAAAAGGGAACCAAAAGTGCATGAGTTTTCCGTAACTGGCCACATATCCCCGGTGTGAGGGGAAGCTACAGTGAGAGCTCATGCAGGGCACTGCTCTTCCAGTGGCAGCTGCACTGTTCCTTTTGAGAACAAGGTCTGGTGCATCTGCACTTAATCAGCAGCCTGGGCTGTCCTGTCACCCCCTCTTCAAGATGTTCTACTCTGCTGTAAATATTCAAAGCTTTGGGCATGCCTGGTCTATTTCTTTCTTTTTTTTTTTTTCTTTTTGTACTAATAGTGCCCAAATAACCAAAAACACACAGATAAAACACCCTGTATTTTATCTCATTTTTAAAACAAAAACTAAAACTGAATTATTTTTTGAGCTACAATTTTTGATAGGAATACTGTTTTATAAAAAGAAACTGAATTTGAAAAGGTAGTTACACAGAGTGATTCCACAAAACTGTGCTAAGAGAATGTTCTAATTGCAGAATGCTTCTGTTTAGCACGTGGTGGTGTCCTGAGCACATGCAGTACATACTGCCCTTGTAGTTTTACAAGTCTCACTAGTGCAAGGCAGCTCACACTCACACGCCTTAGCAAGAACACACAGACCGTTTTGAAGTACGCAACTAATCTTCATGGAGATGTATACAAGTTTTGGTTCAACTCTTACAAATTAAGATTCACTGAGAGAATTTCTGTATAATGAAGACTTAAAACAATGTACAATATAAAATTTAAATTAATTTACTAGAAAACTGAAATGCATAGACTCTGCACAGGTGAACAGGTAGCTCTTTTAAATGTATTTCTTTTCTACAGTAAATATATATTTCATTTAATTGATGGAATCACAGCAAAATACAACTATAGTTTCAAAGCATAGTCTGTAAACTAACACATCAAATATGAAAAACATTGTACCTTTTTTCCACTCCAAGAGTGAGCTCCAAGGGGCTCAAGTGCTTAACTTGAAGCAGAAAACATTGTATCACAAGACCAGTAAGATCTGGCCAGTTTCCAGATGGGAACCTAGGTGGGAATACTATCTAGTAGATAATTTCTATCACTGACATCCTAGGAATGCCTGCCACATGTTACTATGGAGGACTGAAGGGACGTGTACACAGTCCATCTGAAGCACGGAATTAGAAAGCATGAGAGAATTTGCAACTCTAAAATTAGGAATATATTTACTTTTGAAGAAAAGAAAATAAAAGCGATCCATTTCTAAGCAGTTGAGTAGATACTTCAGACATTTTCAATCATTTTTTTAAAATCATGTTTGTGCAAAGTTTAAAATATACTATTCAACAAGAGTATAATGTGAAAGCAATACATGTTCAATCTTAAAAGCTAACAGGAACCTCAAAACAAATTAACGTGGTATAAGCCTATCTTCAGAGGTACTCTAACTCAGGATCCCTAAACTTCTAATACAGCATGACAAGTGTTGGTAGAGACAAGCCCCATAACAATTCAGGACATTCCAGTAAGCAC